ATTGCAATGAACGTCAAAAGTAATTCAATTAACGACAGGATTGAAATGTTTAACATTAGACGTAATTATAAAGTGGGGGAAAGACGGGTCAGTTGTCCTGTTTTTGCCGCTTTTGCCGAATCTAATCAAGAGATTCACAAAACCAATGATATTTTCGGTATTAATGAACTTTTCAATGCCTCTCCCGTTAGAAAAGTTTCATTAATTACAGGTTTGTTTCGTAACAACCAATCGCTTACTCTTAAAATAATTGCTAAAATTGTTTGAAATTAAAATTCTTGTCAAATAAGTGAAGAATATTTAACATTAAATGTGTATTTCATACGCAATGATAGGCTCAAACCAACTGCCGGTCCACTCACTGTTACTATCAATCAGTGGTGACTCGAAGATCTCATTACAACACACGTCTGTCCAACAGTTGTCGGCAATACCTGAAGACCACGAACTGATCGAAGAATACGACGCCCCGGAAGAGGTGATTGAGGACACGGACGATGAGGTGGAGCCCCATATCCTCATCACAGACCCGGCTCCAGACGGCGGCTACGGGTGGGTCATTGTGTTGGCCTCATTCCTATGCAATGTCATCGTCGATGGCATCGCCTATACGTTTGGCCTGTTCTTCGAGCAGTTTGTCCAGCATTTCGGTACAACCAGAGGGAAGGTAGCCTTATGTGGGTCTCTACTCAACGGCTGCTATCTCGGAGCAGGTTTGCTGTCATTATATTTATCATTTTGATATGATTTGTATTAAATTGTTTGTTATGATTATAATAATACTAACACTTATTCTCAAAGTAAACATTTTGTTTCTAAACAAATCATTAACTGTTATATTTAATATTATATAACTCTTAGAGAATAGCACTTAACTTTAGCACGACTTCAGTTAATATGAAATTGTTTCATTAAGAATAGTTGAGTACATATTCATTATTTTCTTACTCTAGACATCTATTTTAAAGTATACTAGTAATTATTGCAAACCTTTTAACTGCAGTCATTTAAATTGATTGCTTGACAATTAGATTAATGAGATACTTATAATTATTGTATTATAATGAGTTATTTGATTAGTAGTTAATTAATACAAGTCTTTATACTAAAAGTGGGAATATTAGTAAAATATTTTTTTTCAATATTTTCATTTATAATACGAAATGCGAATTTGACGCTTTAAATTAAGATTTTGAATAGTTTAAACCTAAATTACCGTATATTTAAAATTGTGCAAATATTTCCGCATAAATCACAGGTCCAGTAGTGAGTGCTTTGGCCAACAAATACGGCTGTCGTTTCGTAACAATTATGGGAAGTGTTATCGCATT